GGTAATCATCTTTCTGGCAGTATTGGGTGGATGCCGCCTGGGACAGGCGCGTCTGAGCATCGCAGAGCGCCGCATTCAGGCTGCGGCTTCGAGCAGTTGCGGGTTTACCAGGGTTTCCTAAATCATGGGTCCTTATTGCAGGTCCCCATGATACTGGTAGGAAGCATAGTATACTGTAATATTGCTTATCGGTGGAATCTACCACTCCCCAACCCAATTGCGCAACCTTTCTCCAGGCACCTCCCGAGTACACACTCCTCATGCAGCTTGAGGACAATGCTGAGCTTATCAATCAGTACGAGGAGGCGCAGATAGGAATGTGTTGCAGTCGGTGATGAGCATAGCAATGAATTGCCACAAATCGTAATAATAGGGACATATAAGGATTGCATTTTGTAAGCACGGTACAAAGTAAGGTAGCAATAGCAATGATTATAATAGTATATTGTGTGTCCTTGTGTCCTAATACCAGGTCTTGGCGCACCTAGAGGCGGAAGAGGCAGCGGCTCCCATGCTCAGCCGGCTTTGCTTGCCGCTCACGCGGAACTGGTGGCATGGCAAGAGAAGCGAGGGAGTAGCACTTGGGGCTTTCGCTAAATTAGCGATTACTTTTTGGGGGGTTCCAATAGCTAAAGGACTGTGGTGTTTTGGGGTCTGTACCGGGGTTCCATTTTCCTTTTTATCTGGAAAGTACAACTTACCAGTTTAAAGCTATACTCAGACCCTACCCTAGGCAAGCGTTCAAGCGGACCTTCTGGCCGCCAGCTGGTGAGATCGAGTTTGAGTGCTGAATCGGTCTTGAAAGTGGGGCCTTCGTGGCTTCGGCGTGAGCAGCTCGGAGGCCTTCGAGAGCAGAACGACTGTTCAGAGCAAAGCCTTTCAGAAACTAGAAGCTCTTGAGAGAAGCGTAGAACACCTGGCTGTGCTTGCCGCTATGTATGCAAGAAGCTCTGCTTCAAAGATGATGGTTTCCCTGCGACGCTGTGTGTTCAAAAGCGGCATCAGGGAAGAAGTGCATTGCGCGGCAGGACGGCCTTCCAATTACTCTGGGCGAACCCTGACTCAGGGTCTGGCGGAAGAGACGACGTCCACGCATTGTGTCGGCTGATAGCCCCGGTTTGCGCTCCACCATGGCAAAGTTTGGATGTGCGGCACTGGCGAATTGCAGACGGCCGCTTAACCTTTGGACGTCGTTCATTCATAGCCATCCAAGCTCACTTGAGGGTTCGCTAGCCGGTGTGACGTGGGTGATCGGAAGGTGGCGATGTTCAGGCGGAGAAGGACAAAAGGGAAGCGTGATAGCTCTTCAGAGTGTGAAAGCAACCCGGGAACACTGAAACTTAAGCGCCGTGTCTGCATGCATGGCTCAAACCAGTTTGGCGCTCTCTGCTATGACTTAGTACAGGTACCCGTGTATACTGTCACAGTACAGCCAACAGCTCGAGCAGCAAGACAAGCATATACAAGCATGCCGTTGAGCCCGGGCATGCGAAGGCGCCTCGAAACGTTCGTCTCCAGGTGCGGTTGCCCATGGATCTTTTGAGTCTGGATTCGGGGAGGTTCAAGAATTCTTGCACAGACGTGCACAAAACATGTTCAAGCAATTTTGCGCGGAGCCTTAGAACGGGAGACGTGCCATTTCTTGCTGAGTGTGTTTCGTTGTACACTCGTCCCGCAAAGCACGTATGCGTGTTGGGTTGATGCAGGGGTGGGGTTCGAGCACAGTTCAGGATGTAAAGGTTTAGGCTTTAGGGTCCAGGGTTTAGGGTTTAGGAATGTAAAGGGCTTGACTTGCTGGCCCCCAGGCAGGGCGCTTCAGCTCGGGGACCCATTTTGCGCTCTCGCATTTTTGGCCACCAAATTCTTTTCAGATTTTCCGGGGACATCCTGCTTTTTTCTACCTCTTTGGAGGACATAGGAACAGCAAGATGCAGATTGGAATGCCCGCATTTGTTGAGTGCACATCATTCAAGTAGATTTAGCTGTGGGCTTCTTGATTTATTCAGGCTGTACTGTAACGCTCCTTTGCATTCCTTTTGGTGCAACAGTGAAAATAGCAGACCCTGGATGCTGTGATTGGGACGGCTTGCTTCCCATGTGTCTACCATCTTCTGTCTCTCGTGCCATCATGGATGACGTGGTGATGCCGTTTTAGCGCCTTGTGGACTCACTTGTCTCCCATTCGCCTCCACTTTGTATTGCGACTGCTTCCGTTTGGATTTCTCTGTGACACGAGGAGAGAAAATAATCCAATCAGCTCGCTGATATAACGGTACCATTACTAGTCCAGAGAACCCAGCCGGCTTGAGGACATCTGACTTGAGGACATCTGAAAGCAAGGCAGATGCTTAGCAGGCTGGCCATGGTTCGGTTGGCTAGGGAGCTGGATGACAAGCAGAGCTCCTTACTTGATGTATGGGGTCGAGGTTAGTATAATGCATTGTATCTTGCAATTGGAACTTGGATGTGCGTTGTAGTGTGTGCAGACGGTCCGCAATGCTTGGCAAGAAGTCCAACTTGCATCCTGACTCCACGGTGGCGTTTGCCAAGACTTTCTGGAGCTCTCCACAATCTTTGCTGCCCAATCCATGCGTGATTTCTCCAGTCTGTGGCGTCCGAATTGCTAGAGGCGTACGGGGACATTCCTGTCTGAAGAAGAACTCTGCTTTGCTCCAGTCGTCGGAAGCTACGCGCACGTCTTTTCTGGGTGACTTTTGGAGCAAGTGTCATGTTGTTGCCTCATACCTTCATCTGTTGGATGGTACGTGTGCTTGAAGGCAGGTCTTCGCGAACGGCAAAATTCGGGATGCGGCTTGTAGCTAATGCACCAGTGAAACAACCAAGCAGTTGAAACAACGCAACAGTTTCATGACTTGTTGGGAGTCACCATGTTGGGCTTGAATTCAGTACAGTAACGCACAAGTCTGGGGAAGCTCAACACGAAATAACTTCTGGCCCACCATCAGTTTTGCAGGCCGCGTGACGAGGAAGGCTTTGCCCTTGTTCCTCGGCTGTTGGAAGCGGCTGTAGCCTTTGCAACGCAAGCTGTGGCTTCCCAGGTGTCCAAGCAGGAAGTTGCCACTCTTCGAGGCACTGTGGAGGCTCCAGCGTCGACTTAGTGGATTTGCAGAGTGTGGCACAGGCCAGCGTGATTGAATGAGATTCCCTGCAGGCACAACAAAGCCAGATCGCGATGCTTGGCGCTTACTATTGGATCTATGTGCAAGGTGACTGAGTAGGGCTGTTCAGAGCTGAATCATCACCCAGGTTACAAAAGAAGGTGCGCGAGATGGACAATAAGCAATGCTGTTGTTGTTTGGCTCAATTACTCTGTGGATGCTTTTCGTGTGTTGGCTGCGCCGAAAAACCTGGCTGAGGCGTGGATGGCATTGTCGGACTCTTCAAGAAGCTCGCTTAGTGAGCAGACCAAATGCAGCTTCCGAAGAGACTAGTAGGGGTTGTAGTAGCTACCTCCTTCGAGGAACCTGCAACCCTAAATGGTAGTTTCCATTTTCTTTTTCATGATCCTCATATAAACCCCTACATTAACCCGTAGATAACCCCATATAACCCATATCTTTTGGGAAGCAGTGGCAATATATGACCCCAATACCCCATTATCCCAATATATTCCCCCTATTCTACTACAGTAGTTTCCATTTTCTTTTTCATTATCCCAATATTAACCCATATCTCAGATTATTGAAGCCAGTCTCTTCGGCGCAGCTCTGGCGATCGTTGGAGTGGAAGTGACGCAGAACGCAGCCAAAATCGGGCGGCTGTAGTTTCAGATCATCCTCCCACCGTGGCTGGTGCTTTGCAGGAAATGTCTTACTGGGAGTTAGTAGGGAATATGGGATATATATATATATATACATATACGTAGATATATTAAGTAAGTATCATAGGGATAGTGGGAAAGAAAATGGGAACTGCTACAGCATAATAGGGCATATGTTGGGGTTAATAGTAAAAAAATGGGAATATATGGGATTATATAGGGCGAATATTCCCTCATTCCCTACTATCCACCAGTAAGACTATGACCTTCAAACTGACGTGGCAATGCGTCGTAAGGATTGCAATAAGTTTCATAAAGACATGCATGCTTGGAGGTTACGGGTGGGTAGAACACAACTTTATTTCACATATAGCCCAGCGATGATAACTATACCTAGCAGTCGGGTTTAGAGCCACCCGGACCTCAAAGTAGGGACGCCCCTACTGTCCAGGATGTTTTTCGGTGCTCCTATGGATTACGAATCTGCGGGGAGTGCAGGCAAAGCTGCAAGTTGTCGTTTCCTTGCTTGGAGGCTTCGTGCAGCTGAGAAGTAGGCTATTCTCTGCGTACAGTTACCAGTACCCTACATGAAGCACCGTCAAATTTTGTAGTAGTGCGGTATTTATAGGGGTTTACACAGTTGTCCCATGTAGGAACTGAATAATACCCCTGGTTTCCTATCACGGTTCCATGTCCATAGGCTTACATCACACGTATGGATAGCAGCTTCAATGCTGTCTGAATATGATAGTTGTTCCGGTGGCAACACTGTTAGACTCAGTTGCGAGGGAGGTTCCTAAGCTTCCAGGTATCACTCAAATGCACGGCACCAGCCAACCTCTGGGGTATGGCAGAACTCACAGCACACTTAGGGCTAGTGCGGCGGAGTTCTTGGATGTAGCTAGGCGTCCTTGCTTATGATCCGGTCCTGATTTTCATAAATGCGCGCAAGATAAGCACGGTGCCTTGTGGGGCAATTTGCTCAACAAAGAATACAGCAAGGACTTGAGAATTGCTTGTTTCAGGTGCGTAGGTCTAAACTGCCAATCTACTGATTGAACCCCAGGACTTCCAAGAAAGGCCGGGGTGCCTGGGAAAGTAGTTGCGCAATTTCATGCGAAGGGTCTTCATATGCGCTATTATGCGCTCCAGTTCATGGTAGCATCAAAAGGACAATGAAGCACGGATGGACATTGGTCTTCCCTGATTAATTTCTTGAGCTCTTCTTCAAGCCTCACCGAGGGTCGGTCAACTGATTGTGTGGGAAAGATTGACTTCAGCGCAAACAGAGTCTAATTGGCTCCACGCTGCCAAGCTTCGGGACATTCCTAAGCAAGGCCGAGGTAGTTGTTTAGATCAACTTTCAGGCATGTGCTTGGGATCTCTGCACTTTAAGCCTGCAGGTTTCCCATCATGCCTACCGTCCTGCTGGGACATGATCCACTAGCGCTTTTGGCAAAGGATCCGGAGGCCACGAAGATCACAGCAAATGACCTAGGCCAAAATTACTACCCAGGTAGGGCAAACCGTGACGCCTTAAACAGAGAAGCAGTGAATGGTACAGGAGGGTCTCTGGCCCGGATCCCGCCGCCGCTTGAAGAGCAGGTTCCGCGGCTTGAAAAAGTGGCGCAAAAGCAAGGATTAGAATGATCAAGGCAGAAATCTTCAAAGACCAAAGCAGCACTCGACAAAATGAGGCTTGCAGTAGGAGCGGTAGCGGAGACTACGAAAGGTCTTGCCAGCCTTTCCCTTTTAGGTAGGGCTTGTAATCCCCTCAAGACCGTGGGGTAGTGACTGTATGCAAAGATGTTAGGCCCCGGAGCTGCAGTTTTTGGTCCGGAGCCCACATGAGCAGAAGCATTCCCCAAGCCGGGTCTCGGAACGAACCATCAGGGTGAATACTATACTGCCGCTGCCAGGACATTTTCCTAGCCAACAAGCTATGACAACTCGAACCTTTTCATCCGATTGGTGGACCCTGTACAGGATCTCAAGATAGACCCTAGAAAACAAAAAAAACATTTTATCTCATTTTGGTAACCCACCCCCCCAAATGTTGTCATAGGAATACAGTCATCCTCCGCAGCGTTCCAAAGATGTTCGCTACATGGTCTACCTTCCTGGCCTGCGCCGTCATAGGAACTTCGGGCCGCTAGACGCACAAGCCAGCATGTAAGGGGCCTGGGGCTACATATGGATTATACATATATATATATATATGGTGCATTATATGTGGTTATGTAGGTGTCATATATGATGTGTATATGTATATTGGGGTATACGTAGGGAGCCTGGATGAGCCATGTTGGGTTTTGCCTTCATGCATGCATGATGCTTGAAAAAATGCGCTGATCGTTCAATTCCGTTTGACGTTCCGTATTGATAGCATCAGCCTGCTAGGGAGGACATGGAAATTAGTTGCGGTAATAGGCGGACCCGCATGTAGGCCCAATATACTACAATCCTTATTGTGGGGATCCCCAAGCAAGTACCACCTGTTCTTGGAAACCCTAATGTCCACACCACGCCTTGTTCCCAGCTTCCATTTCATTTTCGGTTTGCTTTCCCTTGGATTCCCCACTACTGGGGTAATGTCTCTATATCAATCTTTGATTTAAAGCGCCCCAATATATACCCCGCTATGCGATAGTAGTCTCCATTTTCTTTTCCATCATCCTTATCAACTCTAAACCTGAAACCGCCCGTAAGATCCAAGTTAATCTGGTGCCTAGCCCCAAAACCTTAAGCACTAAACCCTCAACGCTAAATCCCAAACCCTAAACCCTAAATACACCCTAAACCCTGAATTTTAAATCCCAGAAGCTGCAAACAACCATCCTAAACCCTAAATACCCCAAAACCCTAAACCCAGGCCTCACCTTGGAGTACCTGGTGGTGGCTGGAGGTGGAGGTGCAGGCTCAGGTGGCGGTGGTGCTGGTGGAGTCTCCCAAGGCACAGTGCCTTTGCAGGAATCTCAATAACTTACTGTGGGGTAGTAGGGGATGAGGGGCTATATTATATATGGGTTCTACATTGACCATGTAGGGATTGTATATTCCCTTATTCCCTACTAAGAACCAGTAAGATATGTACTTTTTTTGTTTCCTGGTACACCTTCCCTGCATATCTCTGAAGTGGAAGTGTTTTTGTGTAACACGCCTCATCAACAGTCTGCTTTTGGTTTAGGATGTGGAGTTGTGACGTGAATGCAAGACTGCTGTGCCCTCCGAGGTAAACATCTTTCCGGGCACTCTGTGGACCGTGGTGGTGGGAGCCGGTGGGACCGGAGGATATGGAGGCTCTCCGTTTACGAGCCCTCCGGGCCGTAACCAGTCCACAAGCGGAGAGAGTTCAAGCTTGGGACCTTGGTTTCTTGTAATTGAGTAGCCTTTGCTTTCATTTGCTTGCCACAACAATAACAATATTATACAAGTAGATGTATATGTGTACGTATATGTATGCTGATCAAGCCTAGCCGTAGGTTTTCACAAGGAAGGGCCTTGAGCAACGGAGGACCAGTTGTTTCCAATGGTGGCGGATTCGGTGGCTCAATCAATCCAGTCGGGGGCAATGGTGGCTCAGGGGGAGGCAGTAGGTTTGATCGTGCTGGCCCAAACGATGCTGGTCGAGGTACTCCTGGTCAAGGCAATGATGGGGGCATCTCCGACAGAACTGCATTTGGAGCAGGAGGTGGTGGAGGGGGAGCGGGTGAAGTCGGCGGCATTGCCCGTGATGAACACCTTGGTGGAGATGGAGGAGATGGAGTCGAGTCCAATATCACGGGAACGCCGCTGTGGGTCGGTGGGGGAGGCGGTGCAGGCGTGAACGACAATTTCCCAAACCCACAAGTGGTACCGGGTGGTGGAGGTGCTGGGGGACGCGGAGGGGGAGGAAATGGTAGCAGTTTGGCTACACCCTTCAATGGGGTGCCTCAGGAAGGTTGCTTCATTGGTTCAGATGGAGTGCCCAACACAGGCGGTGGAGGAGGAGGCACGGACCCCGAATGCACCTTCGCAGGCAACGGAGGCTCTGGAATCGTTGTGCTTCGATACCAGAGCGCTGAGCCAATCTTATTTGGAGGCAGCGTGAGCTCTCTCGACGGGTATATTATTCACACTTTCGCAGACGTGGGCGAAAGCAATCTGACCTATCCTTTCGAATGTTTCGGGTGTCAATTCTTCCCTGTGCATCTCAGTTGCAGCGCATCACGCTTTGTTTTCGTTGGGAAAATGTGATTCGGTTGGCGTTTTTCATGTCCTCTGAACCCTAAACCTTGAAGTATGCTTGAAGTGAGGAGTGGTCCTCAGTTCCGACGCTGTGACTACTGGGGGGATCCGCACTACACAGCAAGTTGGGGCCCCCACGGCCGGTTCGACTACCAAGGCCTAGGTGTCCACGAGGTGGTGAACAACAGTGAGTTTTGTCAGAGCTTCAGGATGCGTCTTGCCCTCTTAGGGTTTTAGAGTTTTGGGAGTTTTAGGGAGCTGTTCTTTTATTCGGATTTTAGAGTTTTAGGGTTTAGGGCTTTCCTTGAGTTTCAGGCTAATCCCAGTAACTCCTGAAAAAATTGAGCTTTGGGAAGACTGCCTGCGAGAAGTGAGGCAGGCATTCCACTGCCAGTACAGAAGATCCCGGAATGCCGTAACCCTTGGAGTGGCCTTCCTTCTCGACAACAACACCCGGGTCTTTATGAACGATTCCTTCGTATTCGTGACCCCAGGCATGGAGGTTGACGGAAAAAGTTTCCTTCCGGAGTATAGCCCCATTTCTTGCATCGTATGTGCTGTATCAGGGACCCACCGGCCATACAAGACCTAAACCCTAAATTGTAGTTTCCATTTTCTTTTCCATTATTCCCAATATGACCCTAATATCATCCCATTATAGTAGTTTCTATTTTCTTTTCCATTATTCCCAATATGACCCTATAATATTACCCCATTATGGTAGTTTCCATTGCCAACTATGCAACATGTACTGCGTCACGCCTTCTCCAAGTGTGGCTGGGACCGGTCAGGCGGCGAGGATCGCGTGTCCGTGAATGGTCCCATCTCCACGTCTCAGCTTCAAAGTGGAGTGGATATCCAGACAGGCTGGAGGAGGTAATATTAGGGTTATATTGGGGTTATACCGGAATAATGGAAAAGAAAATGGAAACTACTATATGGCTTGTATCGGGATAGGAAGCAGAAATGGCTTCTACAAAGGTATGCACTCCAGGGATTATGTTGCGGTAGTCTGTGGGCTAGAGCTTCTAGGGTAGGTGATCTGGCATGTTCCTGTACACACGGGGTCCATGCCATGAGTAAGAGATGCAGAATCCACGGGTTGCCAGGTGTGGGCTATAGTCTATATAATCTGCTACAGGGGATTATATAGGGGACTACAGAGGATTGAACCCTAAACCCTAAACTCCTTCAAGGCGGGTTACATAGGGGATATAAAGGGGGAGCTAGGAATTTTGACTGTAGCTCCTATGGTCGTAGGCTTCTCGGGTGCGCCGGCCTGTGATATCTTGTGACTTTGGTTACCTGGGGCTTGATGTTTAGAAATGCGATCTATATTGGGCCCTGAAGTCTGTAAATATTACCTACACCCACATCTGGCTGTTAGGATCTCTCTAGGAATAGATTTCTCGTAAGATTCGGAGGTGATCATTGCAACTTCGCAAACATCAACGGGGTGCGCATCCGTGGAAAGCCCGGATACATCTTGAACGCCAAGATCCGGGCGCACGATGAGGTAGATGCCCCACAAGGCAGGTTAGGATTTTATGACCATAATAGGGATGTAAACCCAAGAAATCAAAGAGCACTTTCCCTCCTTGGGCTCCTTTTAGAGTGCTCTTTGATTCTGTTTACCCCTAAACAAACCCTAAACCCCTAAACCCCTAAACCCCTAATCCCCTAACCTACCTGCAAGGTATCTGTGGAGCGGAGTTTCTTGCATCTACCTTTGTGAGCGAGCTTCGGTCCCTCTTTTAATCTTTGGGGTATATGGGGGTTTCCCAAAATTAGGGAGTTAGTGAGCGAGCTTTGGTCCTCTTTTAATTTATGGGATTCAATTAGTAGCCCTCTCCCTAGGTTCCCCCCTTAATTAGGGTTATTTAGGGATAATTAGGCTTAATTAGGGTTAGTGAGCGAGCTTTGGTCCTCTTTTAATCCTTGCTTTGTAGCATTGCTATCTAGATCTACTGACCACTTTGGGCTTGCACTGGGCTGTGACTGCTAGGATGCGAGCTGCGCCTTTGGAAGGTAGCTGTAAATTCGAGAATTTCCCGCAAAGTGCAAGTCTGGCTTTGGACCCAGATTCATGGAGCAGTGCCGTGCAAAACGGTGGGGCTCGAGCACCACTTGACGCTTACACTGCTTGTAAGGGAAGATGTGCTTTGAGCTTTCGGATGTCACTGATAAGGATCCAGCCGACTACCTTTTCACGGATGATGAGTTCATAGAGCTTTGCAACCACTGCGAGTCCTTTGGAGGCCGTTACATGGGGGTTTCCCAAAATTAGGGGTACCTTTTTGGGGGTCCCAATAATAAGGACTAGAATATTTTGGGGTCTATATTGGGGTCCCCCTATTTTGGGAAACTACCACATGGGTTTCTTGTCAAACAGGGGTTGATCCCTGATAGTCTTCCCTTAATCAGATTTCCTTCTTGTCAAGCGATACTGCTCCCAAATACAAGAGGGACCAATGGACAAAACGATGAAAATACCATGCTGTGATATGATATGTGATTTCCATGTTTCCCATATTACCGGTATGTCCCCGGTATAAGTTTTGCTATCGTAATATATAATACTGTAGTTGTCATCTATCTGAGCTATAATCGAAATTCAGGGGGACCCTGAACCCTAAATCGCTTAAACCCTGAGCCCTACGCCCTAAATCCACAAACCTTAAGCCCTAAATCCCGTAAACCTTAAATCCTAAACCCCAAAACCTAAATCCAGCTCCACGTTGGTCTCCAGGCACCGGCGCTACCGGATGCCCAGGAGTCACGACGACCACCAGTGTTCCAGTGGTTCTGAGTGACCGTTGCTTACTGGGGCTTAGTAGGGAGTAAAGGAGCACATTTTAGATGGAGTACATAGGGATTATGAAAAAAATGATCTGGGGAATATATTGGGAGCATATAGAACTTCAATTATTGGGATTATACCCCCCCCTATTCCCTGGTAAGAGCCAGTAAGGTTGCAGCTTTGCAAGGCCTGGTGTCAATGCGAACATCCCAGGGACACTGAGTACTGTGGAGGAATGCGAAATCAGCGACGGGACATCACCTTTCGATCAATATGCGCAGAAGCAGCCCAATGCAAACCTTTCCAGTTTCGACGACGTTTGTGTCTTCTTCTACGCCTCAAACAGTGGTGCTTTAAATTGCAACGCTGTGTGTGGTTTACTCGGAACTACTTGCAATTCCTTCTTGGGGCGCGTCGGTGCCTCTGGAAGCTGTTCCGCGGCAACCAATAGCTTTGCTGACTGTGATGGTACGCCCTTTGGTGATGCCATCTGTGCCTGCAACATCAACCAGGACTTGAAACATGTGGTACCGGGTTTAGGGTTAAGGGAGGGACCCCAAAAATCGACCCCAATATGGCAAATACTCCTATCATAGGGACCCCCCAAAATGATACCCTTGATTTTAGGTGGCCCCCCTTGTCTTGACTATGTCATGACCTTTTACACCTCAACCCTCCGGCTCCGAGACTCGAGTCCAATCTGGAAAGGGCATGTCAACCAAACTGAAGGAGCCAGCAGATGGTAGCTGTGCCAGACTGGGTTGCTGTTAAGGAACTTCAATCAACTTACTATATACCCATATTCTGGTAACTTAAGTTCCTTAACAGCAACACATTAAAACGTCAGCACTTGGAGACGGGAAAGATGACGCAGGATGTTGAAAGTACGGCAGGTAGGAGAGCAAGAGCAAGACTGCCAGGAGACATGATGCGCAGCCCTTTCTGAAAACGCTGCAATCAAACAATCCACCTCTGCCTGGCTGCATGCGGCGGCATAAGGAATAATGGAACATATCGAGACATAATTTTCCCATGCATTCTACACTATATGTAGGCATCCTCGACACAATCGGAACACCAGCCGATCTATTCACAGCTAGCAGTTCTTGGCTCGCGAGGACTTCATCCCTGATCAGGGTGAAAGCGTTGAAGAGATCGTGGCGGCTGCGCAGGTCCAAACTGCTGGGCTATCAATGTGGGTGGTTGTCAAAATTATGGTCCCTGTTTGGATCCCTATCATAATACGGCACCTGATACTAAGTGTACCCCAAAAAGGGACCATCATTTTGACAACTACCCACGTGTAGGAAGGAAACCGTGAACCTAAGACCAGGTCATGACCTCAACCCTTTAAATGGGGGTTTCCACAGAGTTAGGGGTAACTTTTTGGGGGGTCCAACTTGAAAGGATTATGAGATGTTGGGGTCTATAGTGGTTCCCCTTAACTTTGGCAACTACCAAAAGCTACATAGCCTGTGCCACGCAAGTGTTTTGTAGTCAGCACCTAGCTTGGGACCAGCCTGCTTAGAAGGTCGGGACATGCGTCTCCTCTATGCTATCTATATATACATATATATATATATATAGATTTACATATCAAACCCTACGCAATGTTTAGCCCCAAAACTGCCATTATAAGCACAGCAAGTCTCCAAAATATTCTAAACGTGCAAGGCGGACCCGAACATAAGCTTCGAAGATGCTGTGGGCAACTGCACCACCGGATGGTTGGAGGGGGTGAACCTTGCATGCAACAGTTCAGGATTCATGTGAGCCATAATCTAAACTCCTTAAAGGGGGTTATATGGGGGATTATATAGGGGACTACTATAGGGGTCAATTATTAAGGGGGATACTAGGAGTTTAGACTATAGCTCATGTGGTCTATAGTTATGTGTAATTTATTCTGAGGCTCATGTGAAAGTGTTGGTTCAAGGTATACTCTTGAGACTGTCTTGCTGGGTCCGGGAGAATTTAGGGCCGAATAGCCTCCTGACATGTAGACCTCGCACGCGCCCCACGTAGTTTCCACATCCCGCTCTACAGCTTTTCGGGTCCTGAAAGGGTGATCATCATTAGCCCAAAGTGGCGAAGTTGTAGTATATTATGGTATATCATAATATTTCATAGTATATTGTAATATAGTATATCATAGTATAAGCAATCTTGGATAACTCAGGGTGCTTCCGGCGAACCTGTCAAACACATCGATCACTTTGACCGATGAGCAGTTCAATGTCTTAAGCTGCATTGCGGATTGGGTCTTCGCAGAACCGGAGGACGGAGTTTGCGTTTTCGGCTTCCTCCGGGGATCCCTGTCTATAAATAATTACCCGATGCTTCCATTGGGCCCTCAAGTCTGGAAATATTACCTGCATGGGGCTATTTAATGGAACTTTGGGTTGAGGTTCATGTTAAACTTGGATGAATATACGGACTAGTTAGAGGCCAAGGCTTCCTTGAGCGCAAAGCTTGAGCACTTTGAAAACTCCTCTTGCAGATGGTGCCGGCCCAATAGTGTCATTACTATTATGCCTATGTTGCCATTTTTCCTATATTACTCATACTACCGTTATTGTTAGTATTACGACTATCAGCATTCAAGTCCTGTCGTTATGGCAGTATGCAGCAAAGACCTGTCGTCATGCTTTGGGTTTGTCAATGAGGATGGAAAGCCGTTCTTAGGCTCCGACATCTTGTAACCAACCGTCAACTTAAGTTTTGTGATACAAGTCCTCGCAGGTGTAGCTGCCAGTGTGTTTCTGAGTTTCAGGCTATGGTTTGATCACAGTATGGCTTGAGGAATCAGAGAATATAATCCCCGTCTTATCCCTATATATTGTATTCCCATATTCCCTGCTAGATGGTGTGCAGCATAGCAGTTGTCTAGAGGGTCCTCAGCCGGAACACACTACTCAAGATCGGTTTTGCGGGTATGCTTGTCCATTACTAAGCCATAACAACAATGATGATAATAGTAGCAGTGGTAATTGTACTAGTAATAGGAACTATACTAAACATGATAGTAAAGTAATGGCAAGATCAAGAAAATTGAAAAATGGAAACGTCAAGCGCAGAAATCCTGTTGCTTGCTGCCGGTGCCCTGGACAGGATCGAGGTGCCATTGTTACGGTTACACAGGAGCAGGACCCGATCATCCCACCAAATGCCTGCATCGCCACCGATGGACAAAGCCTTGAGAATTTTGCCAACTACCCGTGTCTTTGTGGAGGGATCGGAGGGCCGACCTGCACGGCAGGCCAGTTCTGTGACGCCATGTCACCTACGCGAACATGTTTAATCTCTTGTGCAAACTTTTCATGCACTGGCGAACTGGTACTACGGAGTAATGCGTCCGAAATTCCTTGTGCCGACAATGTTTGCACAAGCAGTGCTTGTTGCGAAACCACCACGACTACCACAACTACGACAACAACGACAACTACAACGAGTACAACCACCACGACCACGTCGACTACAACAACGACGACCACCACTACGACGACAACCACCACAACAACCTCGACCACCACCACCACCACCACC